GTTTAGGGCTTAGGGTTTAGGGTTTAGGGTTTAGGGTTTAGGGTTTAGGGTTTAGGGTTTAGGGTTTAGGGTTTAGGGTTTAGGGCTTAGGGTTTAGGGTTTAGGGTTTTAACCCGTCTGCCCGAAGACAAGCCTTTGTCGCGGGGTTCTTCTTCGAGGGCTTAGGCTTGGGAGTTCTCCGACAACCAGGGAATAGATTAGGCTCCAGCATTCTGTAAGGAAACCCATACCGCAATCAAGCCACCATTGTTTCTGGGGGTTAGTTGTACAAAGCGACCCAGAACCCAAAGGCAAAATAAGGGCATGGCCCTTGAAAGGGGATCGCGTTGTTTCACCCCTTATATACCCTATCCAACCCAAGGGCCCATACTTCAGAATCCTTTTTAAAGAAGGTAAGGGACCCACATTGCGGGACCATGCACTTAGAACCACCAAGCAAGCAAGTAGCTATGGCGTGCCTTGCTGTTTGGTCGGTGCACAGCACAGCTTGCTCCTAAACTTAAGCGCCCCTGGCCCTAAACGTCTCTGGCCCTAAACCCCTCAGGCTCCTTGAGGCCCTTTGCCACCGACGTCAGCACGCTGGAGGCCATCACGTACTTGTTCGCCTTGATGGGGTTCGGGGTTGAGGATTTTCGGGTGGAGGTTTTAGAATCCCTGCCGGCCCCTCCCAGCCCTGTCTCGCAACCTTGATACCGGTTCTGCGGCGTCAACACCGTAATAGTACTTGTAGCACCAGTACACACCATACTATGAAAAAATCGTAATATCAACAGCCGCAATAGAATAACTAGCAACCACCAAACCCTAAACCCTAAACCCTAAACCCTAAACCACAATAATCATCGTCGCAGTCGTAGATTGATTGGGCAGATACGCGTAAAAGTCAAAATCAGCAGTAAGACGAACTAATCACAGCCAATCGAGCATCCAAAAGGGAGAGTTGGGCGGCCCGGGTGAGTTGACAAGCCACGCAAGCAACGCGGCCTGAGTGCTTCACACCCGGGCGCACGCCCTCGTTTGGCACACCCTCAACCCCAAACTCCAAACCCTGACGCGGGTGACACGCACGCAGCACACGATCCGAGGACAAAAGCGACAACAGCTTCGAGGATCAGAATCGCGGCGATGCCGAAGCGATGCCCAACGTGGGAATCCGGAGCTGTGGATGCCTGGGAACGCTCGCAGATACTTGCGAACGCTTGCGGACGCTTGCGAATTCGGTCGACACCCCAGACTCACGGACCGAACTCTTTCATCACTCCTTCGGCGAAAAGGAAAACATGCGATTGTTCGCTGGTGTTCAAAAAACTTAAACTTTCAAACCTCAAGAACCCTACAAGAACCCTGCACCCTAAAACCTGACCACCGTAAACCCTACTGGGCCTGCTCCATGGCGTGGCCCATGGCCTGCTCAAAGGGCTCCGCGGCCTCCGCCAGGGTCTTTGGGGCTTCAGATTGTACGGTTTAGGGTTCAGGAGCGACAGCCTTAGGGCTGGGGGCTGAAGTTGTGGGATTTTATTTAGGGTTCAAGGTTGAAGGTCGAAATCTGGTTTGAGATTGCAGTAGGCCTTGTTGAGTTGTTTAGGACAAGCCAACGAGTTTGGGCTGGGGTTTTGGGGGCTCCGAACCCGCTCCTTAGTGGAAGAAGGAGGATGGGTGTAGACGCTAGAGTTTGTGGCTTGGGGTTAGGCAACCCTTCCTTGCATGGACCTCACACTGGGGCCATGGGAGCCGGCATCCAAGAAAGGCCTGTCGCACCGCAACGGGGGGGGGAATTTACCCTACACCCTAAACCCTTAAGCCTTAAACCTTAAACCCTAGACCCTAAACCCGGGGGAGTCAAGATTGCTGCCTGCAAGGCAGCACGTCGGCCCTCGGCCCAGTGGTCCGTGAGAACCTGGTGTCGCTGCTTCAGCTGATGGGGGGTTAGGTTTTAGGGCTGAGGGCTCAGAGTTTAGGGTTAAGGGTTTAGGGTTTAGGATTTAGGGTTTAGGTCTTTTTTTACGTCAGCCATGTGCCACCAACTGTACTGCAGATGCAAGCGGAAGCGGGGGGCGGAGTGGGTTAGCTGTTTTACTCCTAGGAAATTCCATCTAGGGAGGGCGGAGTGGTCAGGGTAGGTTTTGAGAAGGTGTACTGCTTGGGTGGATACCAAGGTGAACAAATATGGTCTGGGGTGTCCTCTATGTCTGGATTTGGTAAATTTGATCCTGTCTTTGTAGCCAGGGCTAAAGATGACATGGTGTAGGGGGTCACTGTTGGGGCTTAACAATGCGTGGGTGAGTCTTTTCTGTTGGTATGAAAGTAGTGCTTGCGAGGGCAGTGTGGGGCGGTGTGCTTTACGCCAGACTGTCTGGCTTGTGATACGGGAGTAGTAAGAGGCTTTGATACCCATTGCTCGTCTTAAATAATAGAAGTACCATCCATCTATGGAGCCTAGATGTTTGTCTTCTAGGGTGGGTGAATCTAGATCAGTACTGATAATATGTAGGACTGAAATAAAAGCGCTTTAGCCTTCCAGCAAAGGCTGCTTCTCCGTAGATTTTGCAGTTTCATGTAAGCTGCGTGTGCTTTTGTTTTGCGTGCTTCATAGTCATTCATATTTATATTCATACATATATATATATATGTATATTCATTATATACACATATATATATATATACATGTACATATATATATATATATATAGATAGATAGATAGATAGATAGATAGATACGCGGCCTATGATTTTAGATAACAGGGACTCAACCGTCCTAATGGCCTTTGTTTTTGGGTGGTGACATGTGGGAGTGCCAGGATTGAGGGCTTTGACAAGCTTCGGCTGACAAACTTGTTCTCCTGACACGCGCGCCTCCCGGCGCCAGCCGTCCAGCTCGCGATACTTGCCGGCAAACAGCTCGTCCACTGCCTTCTTCGCCAGCTCCTTGCACTTGAGGTTGAGGGTTTGAGAGCCCTAGAAACCTAAAATTAAAATCCAAGAACTCTAGAACCCTGAAACCCGAGAAGTCCTTGGCGCCGGCGTCCGCCGCCTTGGCGTACTCCTTGGCCTCAGCAAACCTGAGTGTGGGCTCAGGGTCCAGGTTCAGGTGCAGGTGCTTAAGCGGTTTTGTTGGGGCTTGGGATTCAGTCATGGGCTCAGGGTTCAATGGGGGGTTTGGGGGGGCTCCGCGTCCTGACCCCTATCCTAGGCCCAGGGGCCTTCACTGTCGAAGGCCTGGCAGTTGAAAATCACCCCATAGCTAAAGTCAGCGCAGGTTGTCTCCAAGGAGGCAGCCCGCAAGACTGCACACCCTGAACCCCCAACCCAAAACCCTGACCCCCAAACCCTAAGCCCAAAACCTGTCCCTGGCTTGAAGCGCTTAGACCACCACGGCTCGAATCCCTAGAGCGCCCCGGGGCCTCCAATGCGGGAGCTAATTATAGGCATTGACGCCCTGAACCCTGCACAAAACCCCGAAACCCTAAACCATAATCCCTAGACCCTAAGCCCTAAACCCTAGACCCTGAACCCCCCCAAAATGAAAATGTCAAAAGAAACATATATGTATATATAAACACCCTGAAAGACAGCTGCCCTGTGCTGGGGCGCCGGCTGCTGCTCCATCTTCTTACTGCTGGACTCAGCATCCTTGGCCTTTGCTTTACCAAGTTTAGGATTGGGGTTTGGGGTTTAGGGTTTAGGGCTTAGGGCTTCGTGCTTAGGGCTTAAGGTTTACGGTTTAGGGCTCTGGAGGATGCGACCCTAAACCCGAAGCCGTGAGCCCTGTGTTGAAGACGCCTTGGGAACTTCGAAGTGCGAATAGGGGCTTAGGGGGTTCATCACCTCCCCCTTCGAGGTCAAGGGTTTAGGATCATAACCCTTCAGAATACAACGGTGCCCGGTAACCTAAAAGCAGAAAGGGCGTGCCTTTTTAACAGCATGTCAGGATCCGAGGGTACCACTTGACTAGGCACCATCTAGGGGCTCTTAAACACCTGTGTTTCAAGGCGTCAGCGGGACGGGGGGGTTCGCAGGTATGTTGCAGGTGCCTCGGAGATGGGACATGTTGCGGTTACGCCGTCGAGTTTCTGCGCGTTATCCCCTGCTCCCGGACCCCCTCATCACCGACCAGAGCCAAAAGTACCCTGAAACGCGAGCCCAATCTTTCGCCTTTTACTAAAGGTTGCCGTGAATGGGACGCATCAATGTGACTCACACAATTTTTGCGGAGCTTCGTGCTCCAACAACAACAAAAACAACATCCATGACTCACTGCCAGGGGCACTACTCTGCCTGCTGTGAGATTGCCAGCCTGCCGGCTCATGGCAAATGGCTTCAGACTTGTGATCTGACTCACATATGCCAAGTTCTTGACGGAGGACAGCGAGTGCACACCCACACGAAGCAGAAACTCAGAAGCAATTTGTTTGTCTGCATTGACTGCCAGCCTGCCGGCTCGCGGAAAATTGTTCAGACTTGTGAGGTGATTCAACATGTGCCAAATTCAGGACGGAGAGGCGAGAATAAGCACACCCACAAAAAGTTTGACATCAAGCAAAAGCTGACAGCACCCTAAGCGCTTCCCAGCCGGTCCCCAGGCTAGTACTAGGCGGGCTCTCCTGCAGCCCTAAAACCTCGAAGATCCCAAAATCCTAAGGCCCCTTTTCCCTACAGCCGCCTCTTGAACTCTGATGGACGATTTCAGAATCCATTCTAGGTACTCGTTTCCATTCTTCGTAACTCGCTTGTTCATGCCTCGCATACCCGGCGCCATGGACTTACCCGAAGCGTCATCGTTGAGGCGACCCCAATCTACAGTAGGAGCCTTAATAATTAGAATAGGGCTTTGGGGCTTGCTTATAGAGGGACCATAGAGGAACATTATTGGTAATTATTCCTCACCCCCCAATCGACATCCAGTGGCAGACAGCTCTGCTTCCTTGCTGAAGTCCTTGGCCTCGGCCAGGAGAGCCTGGACACATCGAAGACGCCGGTAAAATGTTAAATCGCAGCTACCCAGACCGAAAACCGAGAAACCCGAAAAAGCAGCATGCTTCTTTCTTTCCTTTGCTTTTTTCCCAGGTTTTCTGGGGGAAAGGGAAGTCTTTCCTTTGCTTTTTTTCCAGGTTTTCTGGGGGGAAAAGGGAAGTTTTCAAGATTTGGGATGTAGCGAACCCTGGCAGGTGCAACCGGTTGCACTGGTCGGCCTCGTTCTGCTTCACGAGCTCCTCCACTCGCTTGGAGGCCTGCTTTGCCTTGGCACACAGGACTAACCCCTAAACCCTAAACCCCAAACCCCAAACCCTAAACCCTAAACCCTGGAAGAAGCCATTCTTGCTGTCAGCTGCTGGAAGAAAGCCTCGTAAAACTCTCCCTAACCACCCAAACTAGCTGGCATGCACACAACCCCTCGAAACCTTATGTAGGTTAGGGTTAGAATAGGGTTTTGGGGTGGGCCATGGTAGTAGAATTAAAAAAGGACCCCAAGAAATGCTACTAGTAATGCTTTCGACTTCTGTTTGTACATCTCTGAAGCTACTGCGCGCCTCCTCTGCGGCCGCCGCTGCCTCCGACGGAATTTCAGAGGAAGCTTTGGGGCGCTGAATCTCAAGGTCGGTGTAACTACGAATGGTATTCCCTAAATGGCCCCCATATCCTATAATTCCCGCCAAAACCCTTAAGGACCCTATATGACCTGCTGCATCATGGCGTAGGGTCTCACGGGCCCCTAAACCCCCTAAAAAGGTTCGGGCCTTGTTTCTGCGGGTCTGTGGCTTGGGGGCTTGACAACACATTGTGGGCCTTGTTGACCTGCACCCTTTTTTTTTTGAAAGTCTTGGGGTTCGGCATTGTGGTTTGGCTTGGGTTTAAGGAGTTAGGGAGTGAGGGAGTTAGGGAGTTAGGGAGTTAGGGGGTTAGGGACTTAGGGACTTAGGGACTTAAGGAGTTAGGGAGTTAGGGAGTTAGGTGTTTGGGGGTTAAGGGGGGTATGGGTTCATCTTGAGCAAGGGCCTTCGGGGCTCGGGCAGCAGCTTCCCCACCCCGGGGGGCCTTGGCGTCCGTGGTGGCGGTTGCCTTCCGCAGCTGCGCCACGTTCCTTTGAGCGTGCACCGGCCAGACAAGAGACCCTAAACTCGGAACCCTAAACCCCAAACTCTTAACCCTAAACCCTAAACCCTAAACCCCAAACCCCAAACCCTTAACCCTAAACTTGGGTTGAAAAATCTGGGGGGTTGACGGAGTTGAGGGGATTTTGAGCATTGAGAGGATGGGGGCCCAGGGTTTATAGGGTTTAGGGTTTATGAGAAGGGTTTTCAGGAAGGCTTCGGGTTTGGCGGATGTTGTGCTTTTAGAATTCAGGGTTTTGGGTTTAGGGCTGAGGGGTTTTGGGAACACCTGGTCTCAGGTCTCCCATGTATGCGATGCTTTTGGCTTGTGGCTGAGGCTGTGAAGGTTTGCCTACACCCTCTAAACTTTGGGGAGTCATCATCGTGAGAATCATAATCACAACATGTACGACCATCATCGTCATAATTATCATCAGGTCGAAATATTGATAGCAACAAGCTCAATAACCATGATAAAAACCCGTTCCAGGTTCGCGCAGCCTGAGGGAACTCAACAAAAACACAGGTCAAAGAAACGACAGCAGATGACGACGGAACCCTACAAAGCGTGAGCCCAGGTGCGCATCATAGCGCTTGTCTACGAAGGGAGCAAGCTGCTTTTCGACATCGACCTCGGGCCACGCTGCAGGCCCGGGGAAGAAGAAGCACAGGCGAACCCACACCCTGAACCCTCTCATGAGTCTGCAACTTCAGAAGACAGGGTCTTCGGCCAAGGCTGATCTTACGCACCGCTGAAACATCTGAATCCCCAGCGAAAGCACCTGAAAAGGTGGTCTCCAGGGACATTGTATCACTTTCCGTGTGGCTGCAGGGATGAAAAGTGTCTCCCACTATGACTCAGTTGCTTCCTGAAGCTGCCTGGTTAAGCCGACTAGGGCTCAGTCTGCGCATCCCTAACCCTCAGAGCGGGAATAAGATATGGGGGGGGCTCAGCTACTTTGAGCCCCTGTTGGGACATCTGGATATCGCCATAACTTGGGGATCAAGACAATATGAGAAGCCTCAACATCAGCATCTAAATCATTTCTCAGAAAACCCAAAACCCGCCTGCCTTTCTGACCATGCTTCAAAAATACCCGAACCCTGAACCCTGAACACTGAACCCTAAACCCTCAACCCTAAAACCTAAACCCTAAACCCGAAATCCTGAACCCTGAATGATTTGAGTCTAAGTTGAAGCCGCCCGGCATCCACAAAGCTGTTGTCCGGCAGGTCGATGTGGTAGTCCGTGTCCGTGGGCTCCTGCGCAGGTTCGCTGGGGCCTAAACCTAGACCCGAAGCTGTTGAAGCCTTAAGCCCCCGAGGCCGGGATATACCTAATAAACAATTGATTGGTGCGCGGTTCAGATAAAAACCCTACATTTTCGATGGGTCTAGCAGCTGGAGTCTCTCTCTCCATCCGTCTTGTGTCGCTGCTTCCTAGCCTCCGATTCGTTACTTCCCACGCCCTATACCCTAAACCCCGAAGCCAAAACCTGAAACCTAGACATTAAGCCCTGAACCCAAAACCTGAAACCCTTAATCATACTCCAAGCTCCTTGACTTCCTTCTTCTCCTGCCGCTCGGACGCCAGCGGCAAGCTCAGCGGCTCCTGCGGAGGGACAGACTCAAGAGGGGTTGAAGGGAGCAGTGGGGTTTTGGTCTTCTCAACCCTAAACCTTAAACCTTAAACCCTTAGCGTTCTGGGGGTTTAGTTTTTTCGGTCTTCGGGCCCGGTTTGAACCGCGAGAACTAGGCCTGAAACCCTGCAACAACACCTGTCCAGCCTCTTTTTCTTTCATCAAGCGAACCAGCTAGGTTCAAAATGAACTCCAAAAACCTGGCACCCTAAACCCTAAGCCCTAAACCCTAAACCCTAAACCCTGAACCCTAATTTAAACCCTAAACCCGAAACCCTAAACCCTAAACCCTGCAAGCCGGGCCAGCTTGAGGAAGGCGCCCTCCACAAGAGTCCTTAGAGACGCACCGTGTGGGACCCGGGGGTTTCGGGTTTGGGGTTTAGGGTTTAGGGTTTGGGGTTTAGGGGTTAGGGTTTAGGGTCAAAGCCCTTGCCGGGGTTGGAGAATCGGGTTTTTTAGGGCTTTGGGGTTTAGGGTTTTGAGGGTTGGGGTTGGAAAAGTTTAGGGTTTGAGGCTTGGGAGGTTTAGGGGATCATGGGGCCTGGGGATTCAGGGTTTAGGGGTACTCGGATTGTTTGGTTTGTACGGGGTCCAGGGTTTGGGGTTCAGGGTTTGGGTTTTGGAGAGAGGGGCTTGGGGCTAGAGGTTTTAGTGAGGTTTAGGCTTTCGGGCCGGTTAAGACTTCAGCAAGGTTTAAGGTGCTTTAGGGTTTAGGGGCGGCTTGGGCCACATTTGCGTAAAACCAAAAAGCATTCCTTCATGTCGCTTGATACACGCAAACGTGGTGCCTCTCAGACCTGGACCTGCAGCCCATGACTGCTTCTTGTGCAGCCTCTGGCGTGTCGTAGCGTCCATGAAACCCAGATACTTTAAGATGACTCATCCGGAGATCCCGCGGGGATCTCAACAGTTCCCCGGTTGCGCATGTCGTTCGAAAGAGTTGACGAGCCTCGCCATCTGACAGGGCAGGCCAGGATCTCGAGTCCAGACCGGTTGAGACATTTCTCTCCAAACCTAAGGCCTGAACCCCATGAACCATAATCCTTACCAAACCCCCTAACGCTAAACCCGGAGTCCAGAATCCCCAACCCTCTCCAATACGCCAGAATGTCTGGCTGGGGCTTCACGATCTTGAGAGTGTGTGTACGCGCGGGCGTACCCACTAATTCTCTGGAAGTTTAAGGGGCAGTGACGTTCCGTCAGTTCCTGAGACTTTAAGCTTTGAACCGTTTTGGGCCCACGCCCTAAACCCTAAACCCTACACCCTCAACCCTAAACCCTTGGAACTCTTTGGAACCCTTGGAACCCTTGGAACCCGTGGAACGCTTGGAACCTTAGAACCCTTGGAATGCTTGGAACCTTAAACCCTTGAAACCTTAGGCCACCCCTTTGAAGCAAGGTCAAGTCCGGGCCGCAGGAGCCCGACGAAGCCCCGCAGGGACTTGAACCCCATGGCCTCGACAGCTCAGGGCCTTTCGGGGTCTTAGGGTTTAGGGTTTAGGGTTTAGGGTTTAGGGTTTAGGGTTTAGGGTTTAGGGTTTAGGGTTTAGGGTTTAGGGTTTAGGGTTTAGGGTTTAGGGTTTAGGGCATGGGTTGAGGCAAACACTTGCGATGTGGCTTAGGATTTAGGGTCTTGGGGTTTTAGATGCTTTTCGGGTCTTCCTGTTCTGCTAATTGCGAAGAAGATGTGGAAAGAAACTTGTCCGATACATCTGCGTTGTGCCCATACGATCCCTAACATAGTTTCCCACGTAAGGACTGTTGGGTCAAATTCCCCACCAAACTCAACCGCTTGGGTTTGGCAAGAGTCAGTTTGGATAACTTTCACCATGGAATGGCACGATGGAATGGCACGAGGGTCTCGCTGCTCATCCAGGCTCCTACGGTGCCTCCCATCTCCACCCACCCCCACCTCAAACTCGAAGATTTGCTCTTGTTGAAAAGGAAGTCCTCGTGATCATGTACAGGAGTCCTCGTGATCATGTACCGCTTGCACACCTTACCCTCTTACTTCTTCTTATTGTTCCTTCTTCTCCTTCTCCTTCTCCTTCCCCTTCCCCTTCCCCTTCCCCTTCCCCTTCCCCTTCTCCTTCTCCTTCTCCTTCTCCTTCTCATTCTCCTTCTTCTCTGCTGCTGGTGTTGCTGCTGCTGAAAGAACTTACTCCAGGAAAGCCCGGCCTGGAACCCTCTCGGATCTTGGCGCCTGCGATGCTGTGAGGCTCACAGGGCCCCTCCTCAGGTCTTCATTACGGGGCGATCCACGGCGTGGAAAGCCTTGAGCCCAAATGGGTTGAGGGTTGAGGGGGTGAGGTTGAGGGTTTGGGGTTTGGGGGGGGTTCAGGTGGGAGGAAGCAGGATTTTGAAGGCCAGTTAGAAGGTTGAGGGAAGTCTCGGGTGGAGCAGAGTTGAGGGTTGAGGGACATGAAACGATTGCTCAGAACTTGGGGCCTTGGTCCCAAAGCCCACAGCCCGTAACCCTCGATCTAACAGGGCGCCAAGCCCCGAACCTTCGACCTCCTGGGGTAAAGGATGTACCTTGAAAAGTGGAAGGCGCCGTGATAATTGGGCAGAGGTGACGGGGGACCCAGAATCTTCCAAGTTTTGGTTCCCTTGGGTGAGGGGTGGGGGTGAGGGGGGGCGAGGGGCGCAGATGGGGGGCGAAGACTCGGGCACCGCTCTCGCGCGCGCGAGGGCCCTATACAAACATGCACTACGCACATACAAGGTTATAATCGGATACAAGGGTCCCGAACAGGCCCCCAAGTATCCCTCAGCCGAAAGGCCCTCATAGGGTTGGGGTGGGAGGCCTGCTCCAACCCTCGGCTTCTTTTGCGCTCGCGCACTGCATGGGCGACTCGAGACAGGGCAGGCCACCGTTGGTAGCCAGAGCCTGCCACTGATTGGGATGTGGAGTTCAGGCTTCTGTGGACTGATGGATTCAAGGCTTAGGGTTTAGGGTTTCGGGTTTAGGGTTTAGGGTTTAGGGATGTTTAGGGTTTAGGGTCTCAAATGGTTTGAAAGCAGGTGTGGGGTGTGGCGCCTTTGATTTGGGCTTTAGACTTGAAGGCAGTTTGAAAGGTTTACGGGCTTACAGGGGCTTTTGGATTATGGGTCCTGCGTACCAGGGAATCCTGGGTCAAGACCGGCCCCTGTGACCATGCGACAGTCGCGAGGCACCGTCCTCTCCAAATCTCATGCTTCAAGGTTCGAGATTTTTAAGGGCTGCAGGGCCCAGGGTTTTGGATTTTTTGGGGCTTTCAGTGGTATCCAGGCCAGCTCAAGGTGAACCCGACCGCAAAAACACGAGCAGCCTGCTCCGACAGCCACTGCAAGGCATCGCCTTCTTTGGGGCCCTCCATCCTGGTCCGGTGGGGGTTTTAGGTTCCAAGCTCCCTCGGCCCTAAACCTGGAAACACTAGCAAGGCTTACCTTCGGGCCCTCTAGACCCCGGTTTTTGGACACTTCGGCAGTTCGGGGAAATCGACGAGCTGCTCAAAGACCGTTGTACTGCGCTGCTGGGACTGTACGACATGACATCCTGGACCTGCAGATTGTCGTAAGACGCGCGAGCGCGAGCATTCGTGGGGTCTAGTGTCTAGGGCTCGGGGCCTGTCTCGGTAGAACCGTTATTCTGGGTAGTGTATGTGAGAACTGTATCGGGGTTACGAGGGGATCATGTAAGCCTTGCAGCCTGTGAACTTGGAACCTCCCGTAGGCCCTGAACCTCAATATCCGAGGTGTACTGCTCAGGGGTTTAGGGTTTGGGGTTTGGGGTTTGCGGTTTGGGGCATTTCAAGGTGGACTGCTCAGGGGTTTAGGGCTTAGGGTTTGGGGTTTGGGGTTTGGGGTTTGAAATGCCTGGCGACCAGGCTGCAAGCCTATTAAGTGGGTTTGGAAGAATTGCTACTGGTATTCCCTTATGAGCCCTGAAAAACGATACCAAAACCCCAAAAACGCTTTTCTACTTACCAAGGGGGCCTCCTACATTACACAAGGCCAGCCTCTTGCCAGGCTCTTGCCAGCCTCTTGCATCAATGTGAACTCGAAGCCTCGAAGCCTTGTAGCTTCTGAACCCTCAGCCTTACATCCAAAATCTTTTGGGTTTAGGGTTTAGGGTTTAGGGTTTAGGGTTTAGGGTTTAGGGTTTAGGGTTTAGGGCTTAGGGACCCTAAAGCCAAAAGCCTTAACATCCTCCTCAACGTCGGCGCTATAGACCACAAAAACCACTAACCCGGAGCGGAACAACATCACGATCTCAACAAACAATGAGCTTCCATAGTTCAAACTCCTGTATTAGTGTTCTACCAGATATTTGCAATGCAACATCAAACACGGAATCTTCGGGTATGGATGAGCCCTAAAGCTTAAACCTGTTCAGCCCTCAGCTCTCTTAGACAACAGACCTCGAACCCTAAACCCCAAACCCTAAACCCCAAACCCTAAACCCCAAACCCCAAACCCTAAACCCTAAACCCTAAACCCCAAACCCTAAACCCCAAACCCCAAACCCTAAACCCCAAACCCTAAACCCAAACCCTAAACCCTCCCCTGCGAACGGGTGGCGCCGCACAGCGCCGCGCGGCCTCGCGCCGCGCCAGGCCACGCTGCTGCGGGGCCAGGAACCTCCGATGGCTTCGTGGGGCTATCGTGCTTTTGGGTTTTGTGGGTTTGGGGGCTTTTCGAGTTTAATTCGGTTTTGATGAGAGGGAATGAGGGAATTCGAACCCCAGATCATCCCTTAAAGGGCATATATAGGGCCGTCCTTCCCTCATTCCCCCTACGACAATCAGGGGGATGGTGCTTTTGGGTTTTGGGGGTTTGGGGGCGGGCTTTTGGGGTCTAGTTGAGGTTTGATTTAATTGGGGTTTAGTTGGGGGTTGATTGGGAGTTTATTTTGGATCTTGGGCTTTGGGGGGTTGGGTGCTTTAGGAATGTAATTGGGGGGTTTAATTGTGGCTTAATTGGGTGGTACGCTTCTGGAGCTACGGGGCTTTGGGCTTGTGGGCTCCGGTCTCCCGGGCTTCGCTGCGAGAGTTTAGGTTTTGAGCCCCACAGCAGCAAACCAAAACCGGTCCCCATGTTCAGAAGAGTTAACGGCTTCTATGGTTTGAGCTCATGGGGTTGAGATGGGTTTACTTAGGGCTCAGTGGAAGCTCGCCGCACCTGCGGCCCTGACAGCTCTTTTAGCACTGTATTTGCAACTCATGCCCCTTACATGGGTTCGAGGAGACCTCCCGAAAGTTCTGGGCATGACGGGCTCACTGATTCCACGAGGTTTGCTTAAGACAGTATTCGGGTTCACCTTGGGGGGCGGGCAGATCTTGACCTCTCACTTATGGCCCTGTGCTTCTTGACGACACAAATACTGTCAAATACCGCAGTGGAGCCCTATTCGCATCCAATTGAAAGCCCGTGTCCCCTGACCCTGTTAGGGTTTAGGGTTTAGGGTTTAGGGTTTAGGGTTTAGGGTTTTGGGTTTTGGGTTTTGGGTTTAGGGTTGAATCCGGAGCGCCAGCTTGCTCAACCAGCCCAAGATCCCAACGCAGCTGAGAGGCGGAGCGCTGATCGCCAGGGTCCGATCGCTGTAGCTGGCCTGCCCCATGTTGGTGCATACTTGGAGGATCATGGATAGTTCTAAGTAGGGCTATAAGTATGGTAATTCTACTTATAGCCTTACCTAGGGTACTTCTAACCCTACTTCTAACTACCCATGAACCTCCAAGTACTGGGGTGGCACAAGTTTGCCCCGGCTGACCTGATGCGGCGATAGCGCCTTTGAGCCCTAAAGCCCTATCAGAAATTCAGAGGGAATCACGCCCCGGACACACAGGCACCGGTGTTGGCACAAGCACCGCAAGCAAGAAACTTGCTTAAACGCAATTAAGGCACCCCCAAGCCCCCATAAACACATAGGGTTGATCTCATTCATGGGCCCGTGCATATGAAAATTTGTTCCTCATAGCTTGAGGTATCAAAAAACACCGTCGTCAACCACCCCCCCGCAGGTTGGATCCGCCTGCCTGGTGCCACCATCCCGGTGGCACAACCAGCACCTTCCGGAAGGTGCCCGCAGGGGAACGTGTTCCGGATTTGGGGTAGGATGCGAGAAGTGCTGGAGCTAAGGGTTTCTGGCTTGGGTTCTCAAAAAATCACAGTTTCAGGGCGGAAGAGTCTAGGGGTGGTGTTGGTACTCTCTGTCTGCCGATGACCTGAGGGCCGTTCGTGCACAAGAAACCGCCCTAAGACCCAGAACCGTTAGGGATCCCCAAAGCGCCTCGCCCATCTCCTGCGCAGTCTCCCAGACCTCCCGGCCCTTGGACGAGGCATCCTCTCAGGGCTTCTAAAACAGGGTTTAGGGTTACTGGGTTTTATACCGCGAAACCCTACTCTTGCCCTCTGACTGGGAATCAGCAAAGTATTTGTGCTGGCCTGAGCAAGCCCGGAGGTTCATGGGTAGTTCTAAGTAGGGCTATAACTCTACTTCTAACTACCCATGAACCTCCAAGTAGACTCCCGAACCCCCAAGCCCCTGCAACCCCGCAGAAGCGCGATCTCCCTGGCGGTGCCTCTGCCGCGGAGTTGCCCCAGACGCCGCCGCCGTCCCAAGCGGCAAGGGTGGTGGGTGGCAGCAACGACCATTGCGCCGAGCCTTGCGCTTGGGTGTCGGGCTCCAGAGCATAGGGTCGTTTGTGTAGGACTGTTTTGAATTTTGTGCGCGCCCCCCTTTCCCAGCTGTTCGAGATTGGAGCCCTCAAGATTTGCGGATCGGATCTTCGCTTCTCAGGAGGTTGCTACCCGTTAAAGAGAACAGGTTCTTCCGGGCGTCCTAGTCAGTGACTGGAGTACCAATCTGGAATCTGCACACATCAATCTGGCCGTGATCCCAGCAGGCCAAGGACCTAAACCCGTTGTCTCGGCCGACCGAAAACTCGACCACAAGATTGCTGGCTGCAAAGATATATTCACAACATCCACTGTGCGTCCCAAGACGATGGCATAGAAAAGCGTTTACCTTCGAACTAAGCTGACACTTAGACCACCACCTACTGAACGGACCCAAAGCGGAATATACCTGAAATTATATCGGGGATCCTTATTATGATTTCAGGTATATTCCTTAATTAAGCGGCGTTGCGCTCTCTGGGGAGAGAACCTGGCCTAGCACCAGCATGCTCCAGGAGGCCAAAACCACAGCATCGCGCCGCAACCGGGTCACTGCCCCGTCTCCTGCTCTGCTTTCCGGGGTTGAAGTAACCTTAAAAAGCCCAACAACCCTTTCAAGTACCTTTAAAATATGAAAATACTAAAGCCCCTAAAACCCAAAAACACACACAATCGCAAAAATGGCAAAGAGGCCTGCAATGCAGAGCCAGCGCACATCCGCTTCGAGGAGCTCCAGGCCGTCTACACCAGTGCCTAAGTACGGAGAAGAGGGAGGAGGGAGGGCAGGGCTTGCGGTTCAAGGTTTAGGGCTTAGGGTTCAGTGTTTCGGGTTTAGGGTTTAGGGTTTAGGGTTTAGGCTTTAGGGTTTAGGCTTTAGGGTTTAGGGTTCAGGGTTCTGGGGGCTCAGGGATTCGGATTTCGAGGTCTAGGGGTCGAAAGAGTGGAGCTTCGGCTTGAAGGCAGACGCCTCGAGCCGCGGTTTGAGGTCTACGGAGCTTGGGCTGCTACAAGGGCCGACCCCCCAGCAGCCGAGAGAGCAACATCCAAAGCAACTCCAAGAAGCCTGGAAGCCCTCCGCGTAACACTGTACGACAACGAAAGAGGAACATTAATTCTTGCGGCCACCCCTCAAACTCAAAGCCTAAGAATTTCAGAGTCCCCCCCCCCCCCACCCCCAACCCAAAGGCCCCTAAACGTCTGCCGAATGGGCCAGCTTCCAGCCCTTCGGGCGGGCACAGCAGGTCGTCGAGCTCTGGGCGCCTTGGGGCTTGAGTTTAGGGAGTTGGGGTTACGGGGTTCAGGGAGTTGGGGTAAAGGGGGGGCTTGGTTGGGGTAAAGGGGGGCTTGGGGAGTTGGGGTTTTGGGGTTCAGCGAGTTGGGGTTAAGGGGGGTTTAGGGAGTTGGGGTTACGGGAGTTCAGTGGAGCTGGGGGTTAAGGGTCAAGGGGATCTTCTGAAGGGGTTGGGGAGTTTCTGGAAGTTAGTTTGCTCATTGACGTTAGCTTTGGCATTCCTGAGTTTTGGGGCCGCTTTGGGCCGGTTTGGCCCTATTTCTCGGGACGCCGCACCTCTGACTCCAAAACCTAGCCTTTTGCCGGCGCCCTCAACATTAAGCAGTCAGCTGACTTAAGGCCCGAATAACCCTTTGAAACCCTACCGAGTACGCTGGGTTTCGTGTTTAGGGCGCCTTGGCAACCTCAAACTCAACTCGCATGCCCACGGCACCGCAGCACTGCATCCGATGCCATCAGGTAGCCTGCGCCTGGCCTGGCGGGTGGGAGACAGCCTGCAAAAATTGCCAGCATTGCCTCTTAGAGTCCCTATACTGGATGTATATTTTTTAATACATATGCATCATAGAAACTACTCCGAATACCACTCTTGTTGCAAAGCCCCCCAAACCGTAAACCTTCAGCAACCAAGTTGCACGCTTGGGAGTGGCTTAGGGGCTCACTGTCTTGCGCAGCGCGCGGCGATCGCCGAGCGACTTCGGGAGAACAGTAATGCAAGCGAGCAGCTTACTCTGAATGCGAGCCGGAGGATACTTGAGGTTCATGGGTAATTATAAGTAGGGTTGTAAGTATGGTATTTAAACTTGTAAACCCACTTAGGGCACTTATAACCCTACTTCTAGCCACCCATGAACCTCTAAGCAAGCAATACCAAAAGAGTGAGCTTGGGTTTTGCAATGGTGCGCTGAGGGTTGTCCTTCGGGGGCCCTCAATCTTAAACCCCCATCCCTGCAAGAAAAAGGACCTTACATGCTCGGTACACTGACAGTTGAGGGCCATCCCAGGGGGTAAGTGACAAGGGGGGAGGGCTCCTTAAACCCTCAGCTTTCACAACGCCTAATTACAACAGGCCCACGCCCATGCAGAGTGGGAGTTGCCTGCTCCGCTGGATCTCCTGCACTTGGCGTTCTATTCTTGAGGGATGAAGGTTTAGGGTTAGGAGGGCTTGGGCTTGAGGAAAGTGCCTGCGGTGTGTTTGATGGTGAGATTTGAAGCACTCCTGTCGATCGCCTCGGCTTGGCTTGAGGACGACGTGGGTTTCTTGCAGGGGGAGGTATGAAGGGGATCACGGTGACCCTGTAAGCCTGGACTGAGGGGGGGGGGGGTTTTCCCAAGGTCAAGATACTCTGCGACAGATACCCGGACCGGCCCCTGTAAACGCCCGGAACCCCTCAAACCCAACTCCTAAACCCTAAACCCTTAACTCAACCCTCAAGACCACAAACCTCGTGTCCTGGATGTAGTGTGCCAGGGGTGCCGAGTGCTCCTGGACTGCCTTGCCAGAAAGCTTTGTCCACATGAGGCTCAAGTTTTGGGGGTTTAGGGTTTAGGGGTTAGGGTTTAGGGTTTAGGGTCTAGGTTTAGGGTTTCGGGTCTAGGGTTTAGGGCGACACTTTCATGAGGAATCCTACTGTGGAGAGCACCCAGAAGAAAACTCGAATTCGGTAGGGTTTGGACATTGAGGTGGGCCCCTAAACCCTCAGACCCCCTGAAACCTTCAAGGGGGCCCTGTACAGACCCCTTAGTTGCTAAGTTCATAAGCTCCCAAAAAGTGTATATACACTTTCAGTTCTAAAGGGGATACAAAAAAATCATCCAAAAAAAGTGCGAAAAGTGTGCTCATCTAGCTACTCATAATATTCATAATATTAAGAATACAAATAAAGATTCATCATAATAATAATAATAATAAAGATATTCATAAAAATCATCATAATAATAATAACAATAATAATAATATCATTTTTATGATTCACATTTATAATACAAATGTAAAATAATAATAATAATAATAATAATAATAATAATAATAATAATAATACTACTACTACTACTACTACTACTACTACTACTACTACTACTACTACTACTACTACTACTACTACTACTACTACTACTACTACTACTACTACTACTACCAAGCAGAGGCCCAGAGCCTTGCCCTCCTGAATCTCATAGCTGACAATGTCCCGGCCGCTGGCGGCCATCAGCCTTGGAATCTCTTGGGTTGAGGCTTTAGGGAAGGTTTAGGGTTTAGGGTTTAGGGTTTAGGGTTTGGGGTTTAAGGTTTAGGGTTTAGGGTTTGGGGTTTGGGGTTTAGGGTTTGGGTATTAGGGTTTAGGGTTTAGGGTTTAGGGTTTAGGGTTTTGGGGGAGAGTCTTCTGCGATCGTGCTTCAGGCGTTTCGGGTTCTTTTGTTATGCCTTTGAAAGGTCTATTGGTAGGGCGTTTTAGGGGTTGGAGGGCTTGGAGGGTTCTAAGGTGTCTTTAGCGGCTCTTGTTTTTTGTGGGTTGGGGCCTTCGGGCTTTCACGAAATAACAGCGGCGCAGTACAGAACCGGCCTCTGGGAGTGGAACCGTTAATCACCAGCAATGCGGCAAACCCTCAACCGCCAACCCCAAACCTAGCCTAAGCCCTTACCCGAGTTCCGCGACTGTCCCACGCATAAGCCCCGAGCGTGCCTGTAGCCCTCCGCCCTCTGCCCAAAGCCCTCAAACCACTAAACCCTAAGCCTCGCAAACTTACACCCTAGATCCTCAACCCTAACCCCCAAGCAGCGCCTCGGCATGAACTCCAGCACGCGCTGGCCCTCCAGAAACGGCATGGCGTCTGTGAGCAAGATGGGCTCCCCAGCCTAGTGGGCCGAGGGTTTCTACTAGGCCCTTTTTAGGCTGTGCTTTTCTTGCGCTTTAGGGCTTAAGGCTTAACCTTCACGAGGGGCTCTTCAGCTTGTGGATCCCTCGTGGTCTTGGGCTCGGTGTAAGCTTGAGTGTCTAGGGGAGCAATCGTAAAGGTGCATCGGCGCTCCCTGTACATTCTCAATGCCTCGTCAGGGAGCGCTGGAGACAGGCCAAGACTCTCTTTCGAAACCCAGAGCCCTGCCTAATATCTGAAATCTCAACCCTCTCTGCTCACTTTCTCAATCCGTACAGCCCTGAACTCCTCGAAGCCCCCAACGCCATGGCCCTCAACGAAGCGCAGCCTCGAGAAGTGAGGCCACGTCCTCCAAGACTTCAACTGCATTGCAGGAAGACCTTACTTCCAGAAGTTTAAAACCCCAAGCTTCCCCCTTTTACAACCCTGAACTTCCCCTAAACTTCCCCTGAGGCCCTAACCCTGTAAGGCTCGTTCTAGGGGTTTAGTGTCAAGACTTAAAGGGATGAAACAAGGCTGTGCAGCTGCAGGGAGGGCTTTCTTGTAGGCCACGAGGCTCGAACTTAGAACCTCGATGACTCCAACTACAATCTTCAAGTCCTGTTCTATTCTTTTGCTTCTTGATTCCATGCCATGAACAGACCAGACATCCAACATAGGAGCCCTAACCCCCAAACCTTAAACTCAAGCCCCAAACCACCCGAATTGCACACACCCCCTACGCCGCACCCCCCGAAACTGCCAGAACCTGACAGCAATCCGAAGGGTTCGGAGAGTTTCGTTCATCCCTAAACCCTAAACCCTAAACCCTAAACCCTAAACCCTAAACCCTAAATGGGATTGGGTGTGGAGAGTTAGGAGGCCAAGGGCTTAGGGTTCAGCGTCCCATCCCCTCGTCCTCCGAGAGGGCGCTCGCGCGCCTCACGCTGCGGACGCCCGGAGCGGCCTCTGTTATTATTATTATGATGATGATGATGATTATTATTATTATTATTAATAATAATATTATGATTATTCATAGTACTAGTATTTATATGGTTTATTGTTATTATTATTATTATTATCAGTAGCCCCGGCCTCTGAAAGGCCTGGCTCAGCTGCGGCGGCTGGTGCGCGAGCCACCTTCTGGGGGGCTTAGGGCTTAGGGTTCAGGGCTTAGGGCTTAGGGCTTAGGGTTTAGGGCTTAGGGTTTAGGGTTTAGGGTTTAGGGTTTAGGGTTTAGGGTTTAGGGTTTAGGGTTTTGCTTCTTAGAGTAGGAAGCCCGGTTTAGGGTTACGAGTAGGAGACTTCACGGATCTGCTGCTTCTGTCCCACATGGCTGCTCTTTCCGCCGGCAGTTCCTGAAAGATCTCCCTACACGACACCCTAAACCCGAAATCCTAAACCCTACAAAGCCTACAGATCTACATACACATATATATACATACACATATATATACATACACATATATATATATACATGCAAACACATTTTTATCCTCACCCTCTAAGAACCTTCATGAACCCTACCAACCCTAAAGCCCCTAAACCCCATCTCTGGTTTGGGGCTTTTGGGAACCTGGGCGCCTTCGCTGGCAGCGGCTCGGCGGCTCGGCGCACTTGCAGCAGGATGGACTGCAGCTTCTCCACCTGCAAGCTGGACTTGAACATGCTTTTTTTGTTTTTTTGTTTTTTTTGGGGGGGGGGGGGGGTGGGGGTAGGGGTGTTTAGGGACTTAGGGACTTGGGGACTTCGGGACTTGGGGACTTAGGGACTTAGGGACTTAGGGACTTAGGGACTTAGGGACTTAGGGACTTAGGGACTTAGGGACTTAGGGACTTGACTTAGGGACTTAGGGACTTCGGGGCTTAGGGACTTAGGGACTTAGGGACTTAGGGACCTAGGGACTTAAAAACTCAGGGACTTAGGATTTCGGTGGGCTTCACGCCCACGGAACTGTTTCGCAACATTTTAAACATCGATGTTTCGCAGTGTGTTGATTCGTACGCAAGACGACTAATGCCGCCACGAAAGCCAACCCTGACCCTGAGTACTCTCAACCATGAAGTTTAATCCCTCCCCCCAACAGAACCCTCACCACCCCTAGTGTTAATCATTCCTCACGTGGCATGAGGGGTCTTGAAGTTTCACAAGCCAAAGCCAACACAGCTTGAGCCGCCACGGCCATAAACTCAACCCTTAAACCCCTAAGGCCTAACTCTTTACAAGCGAAAGCCAACAAAGCAATCAATCGTTGCCTCGTCTTTACCCGAAACCCCGGGACCCTGAAACTTGGGATGTTCCCCCTTATACTCACAGTCCGTAATAGAATAGGGATTACAATAAGGGTACTATCAGGACCGCTAGAAAAAGGGGGAACATCCCGACCTAAACCCTGAACGCTTTTTGCCCTGGCGCCTGCGGGCTCAGGCCAGCGTCTGGGGCCTCTGCGCCCAGGTCCTCCACCAGACGGCAGAGCGCCTGCAAGCGGGGCTCTGGGTTGTAGTCCAGCGCGAGAAGATGCTCCGAATTCTTCGGACAACCCTACAAATCCAAATCCTGAAGCCCAAAAACCTGCAACCCCAAACCCCAAAACCCAGCCTGAACCCGAAAACCTCAAACCCTAAACACACGTGTGAGCCCTGCAAAGCCTCGCACATGGCGGGCCTCCAGTTGCCCGAGCTGCCCAGCGCTCAGATTCAGCCGCGGCCGTTCTGCGGCTTGGAGGACCTGGTTGCAGGAGCCCAGAGCCCCTCCAAGAAAATAGAATGTAGCCATATATTCGTAATAATCATAATACTAAGAAGAAGAAGAAGAAACATATTAATAATAATGATAATAGTAATAATGATAATAATAATAGGAATAATAATGATAATGATAATGATAATGATGATAATGATAATGATGATAATGATGATAATGATGATAATGATGATAATGATGATAATGATGATAATGATGATAATGATGATAATGATGATAATGATGATAATGATGATAATGATGATAATGATGATAATGATGATAATGATGATAATGATGATAATGATGATAATGACGATAATGATGATAATGATAATAATGATAACAATGATAATAATGATAATAATGATAATAATGATAATAATGATAATAATGATAATAATGATAACAATGATAATAATGATAATAATGATAATAATGATAATAATGATAATAGTGATAATAGTGATAATAATGATAATAATGATAATAATGATAATAATGATAATAATGAAAATAATGATAATAATGATCATAATCATATAACCAAATAAAACATGTAATATGTAATATCACTGGGAATGTTAGCTAACTAACAACTTTCCAGCTGATCACACAAGGGCTTGGCTTCAGGCGCTTTTGGGGTTTTGGGGGAGCCCTTTTAGGGGGCGCATTTTCGTGTGGGGGGGGGGAATTACATTGGGGTTTCCTTCTTTCCCGCGGCTGGTTCTTCGGGGACTCCGAGAACCTCAGGATGAAGGACTCGCCTTGGGAGCCCAGGTTCCCGGCCCCGGATTCCATCTCCAGACATGTGTAGGACGCCACGTGCTTTTCTGCTGCGTATCCGGACGTTTTGACGTGCTACTGCATGCTATGCTGCGTTGGGCGAAACGACCTTATCCAAGCTTTGAAGCTCGCGGGGCCAAGTCCACAAGGCCTAAGATCGAAAGCTTCATTCCCCATCCAAGCCCCAGGCCCGCCGTGGACTTCAACCCTTATCCCTAAACCCTAGACCCTAAACCCTAAACCCTAAACCAACATGTTTCGAATTGCAGCCGCTACGCCCCTCGCACGTGCGGCAATGCTCGAATGCGACCGCTTCCAGGCGAGGTCCCCTCGGACCCCTGAATCCTCTATTCAAAAACAGAAACTTTTATTAGTATGATGACTATTATGTTTCTTATTGTTCTTGTTATTATTTCTATTTCTATTTCTACTTCTATTTCTATTTTATTACTCTTAATATTCTTATATTGTTATAATACTACATTGCAAAACGACTATACTATATTTAATATGTGACTAGAATGTCATGTTTCTACATAACTATATGTTTTAATGTGTTCTTGGTGTTAATATTACTACTTTTTGATATTACCGTTTTTGCATTTTCTCATGTCTTACGTTGAATACATGCTATTCTTGGATGGTCAAACTATTCTAATTGAAATTATGTTTACTTATTCTGCTATATATCAGCCTATTCTTATGATATTGATTTATATTCTGATACTCTTAGATATGAAACCGTGTGCTATTGAATATCATGTGATGATATTCATATATTCCAATGTTATGATAGTTATTCATGTCTTGGAACACGACTTTTCATATTGATGTTGCATTTTAGATTATTTGATTGATTTTATCTACTCTGAACGTGATATTCTTTTCATATTTTTTGTTATTACATCATTTTGTCAAATTACTGGAGTATTTATGTTTTATTGGTAGAATGAAGGTGCCTCCAGGTTCCGCTTGGCTTTCTCGTCCCCCTTGGCGGCCGCCGCCTGCCGGAAGGACTTTGAAGCAAGGAACCCTGCTGTGCTGCGATCACACGGTGATTTCTCGAGAGTAGGGTCCCTTGTTGGGGTCCCTATTGTATGGCGGCCCCGCGTATTTAAAAAACCATACTTTTGAGAACTCACCACATAGCGCGTCCGAATTGGAGCCCAAACCTGAATCCTTAAAATCTACATGATGGTTCCCTCTGTTGGCCCCCCTACCAGAAAAACCCGAAACGCCGAACCCAAACCTAGACCCTAAACCCTCAACCCTAAACCCCGAACCCTCAACCCCAAACCCTAAACCCCAAACCCTAAGCCCTAAACCCCAAACCCTAAAACCGAGACCCTAAACCCTGACCCACAAAACCTCAACCCTCAACCCTAAACCCCAAACCCTAAACCCTAAACCCTCAACCCTCAACCCCTCAACCCTCAACCCTGAACCCTAAACCCTCAACCCCTCACCCCTCACCCCTCAACCCTCAACCCTAAACCCCAACCCTAAACCCTAGACTCTAAACCCTGAACCCTAAACCCCAAGCAGGATCCTGGCCTGGAAGTGGCTCTTCGCCTTGGTGGTCGCCGGCTGCCCAACCAGACCTGGCTCCCGCAAGGGGCCGGGGAGGGATGTGCTTTTGTTTTGGAGGCGCACTGACTAAACCCTAAACCCTACAGTGTAAGCAGTTTCTGGATCTTCGCCCGGGGTCACCCTCTAGCAAGCTAGTTGTTGCTTTCTTGTGCCTCTGGACCATTCATCATCAGGGAACAGTTCTAATGGAACAATATAAGAATAGGTTAGTATACTAATATATGAATCTACGAATCGAGTACTATAACAACACCATACGTCTGTGCATGCTTGAACCCATCAAGGCCATTGATGTCCCGAGGCTGTGAGCTGCCACCCGAAGCCAAACCTTCTCCGGCAAGTGGCAAGAGCGGCTTTGATACCATGGTCCAGTACCCAACGACTCTGGTCTGGGACGTAAGCTCATCTGGAAGGCAAGGCGAAATAATTGCCGGAAACATTACCGGACTGATTTTCCTGTTTCGGTTTGAGGGCTGTGGGCCATGAGTACGGCCGCAGGGTTCGCTCCCAGCATTGCTTGCCCCGAGGTACGAGTGCTGAAGGTACCCCCCCAAATTCGGAGGGCTTGTTGAATTTCACTAAACTCCCCCAAGCCCTTTTTAAACAGCCAAACAAGCCCTGTCATACCAAAACCCCGCAACCCGACACCCGCCTTTCGCCAAGACCACGCCCAGGTTGTTCTCGGCCGGCGCGTACCCCGCCGCCGCCGAGGCGCCGAGCCAGCGCAGCCCAGCCTCCTTTGAGAAGATACGCTTAGGGGGCTAGGGTTGGGATGTCCCCCTTTATGCTAACAGCCCCTGATAGGGATTACAGTACTATAATCCGTATTAAGGACTGCTACGTATAAGGGGGAACATACCAAGGGCTAGGATTTGCTTCAGTCCGAAGGCGACTGCTTAAAGGACCAGCTTGGGGACAGCGGTACAGTGCTTGCTTCACCCAGGTCAATTGAGGCCCCCCCACCCAGCAAGAGGTAGCTACACTCCGGCGCAAGACCGCCAACTCAAGGAGGTCCTAAAGGGGAGGAAATCCAGCGAATAGGCTTAACTAGAGTTATGTGACTTACAGACAATGACAAGGGGCCCGGACTTAAGAAGGAACGTCCCACCATGCACGCGCCCACGCACCGAATAGCCGAGCCCCCAAAGCTGGACATGATACGCATTGCCGTATCCCCTTGGTGCCATGAGTCAGCGCCCAAGACATTTGGGGCTCGGGGTTTCGGGAGGTGTGAACCCAGCACTACAAAACATCAGCGACTTCAGGAAAAAGAGTTCTTTTTTATCAGGGCTTGCCTCGTCACGTGCGCAGCCCTCGCCAGCCAGCAAGTGCATCGCCAGCATGTGCTGCAGCTTCGCCTGGATCTCAAGATTCGGGGCCACGGGCCTAGAATACCCTAACCGGGACGGAGTGGAAAGAGAGGTGCGGTTCTGAAAGGTTTCAGGCCCAAACCCGCCCGAGGAGCTCAAAACACAAGCCGCAAACCCTGAAAACGCTAAACCTCCAAAACCCATCACAGAAGCCGAGTCGCCGAACCGAGCTTGGCACCACGCTCCGTCCAGCGGAGCGCCTCGCACCCACGTGGGTCTAATAAAAATGCAAGCCCGTCAGAAACCACAACCCTGAAAATCACGCCTCATCCACGTCGCGGCCCACCCCGCCACGTCCTGTAGCCTCGGCCCACGATGCTGAGGGTGTCGGGTTGAGGGGATCTTGGCTATTTGGGGTCTAGAGCGCTTATAATTATAGGCCTTGTAGGCATTACAAGGCTTCTAGGGTTCGGAAGGTTCATAGAACCTCGGGCCTTTAAGCCCCTGCGGGTCTCTGGGCTTTTGGTGGCACCTTCCAAGAGACCCTCACTGGGCGAACTGACCATTAGGCTTGCTTCGATGCAAGCTCGACTAAACCTTAAAGCGCGGGCGTGAAGAGGGTACTTATTCTGTACGGGGATCCTGCACGTAGCTTTTGTGAAGCGCAGCCTGTCGGGACCCCTAAGCTGTAATCCCCAAACCGACTGCCCAAACTTTGGGAAAATTCATCAACACAAGAGGAAACGTTGAGAGCTTCCCAGTCCAGCGGCAAGGCAGGTCACCAGCAGCTGAATCGCTTCAAGCTCGTCCTAAAAACATCGCGCCCGGCACTACGTTGATGTTAGGTGCAGAGCCTTTGGGGGCTCACCATCAAGTAATAGCTAACCAGCATCTTCGGCTTCAAGGTTCACTGATGTGTGAATATGAGCTAAGGGCATGGGGAGAATGTTCTACCAGGCCCAAAAACACCCAACCCATGAACCTTCTAAACCCACTAAACCCTGATCCCTGAACCCTAAACCTCGCACCCCCAAAAGTTCAACCAACCTGCACGGAGACCTGGACCTAAACCCCCGAAACCGTTTAAACCCCCAAAGCCTCCCCCAAGGGGGCGGGAACTCCAGAAGTCCAAAACCCCCCGGGTTTCCCTCAACCCCCCCCCCCTCCCCTTCCGCCCCGGCAAAAAACAACCCGGCGGAAGGGTTGTTTTAACAGGCCCGAGCCACACCTTTGCAAACAAAAAACAAAAAAATGAACCCAAACAACCCTGAAACCCTAAAGCGCTTAAGCCCCCTCTAAACCCCCAAACAACCCTCTTTAGAGCCCTTACACCCTAAACCCTGAACCCTCCTTTAAACCCCTTCAAACTCCTGAAGCACGAACCCATGACCCCTCAGCGCCTCTTCGGCCGCTCGTCGCAGCCACTTTTGCGCTTCCGCCTCTCGGGTGGCAGCGGGAGTTTCGGTGGGCTTTCAGGGTTGGGGGCTTAGGGTTCGGGATTTGGGGTCCAGGACTTGGGGTTTGGGGTTGAGGGCTCACGGTTTAGGGCTCAGGGTTCTCGAGTCTTTTATGGGTTTTTGGCACGGGTTGTTTAGGGACTGCTTTCAACGCTTTAGCCCTGGCTGCTCATGAGCTACACCTTAAACCCTAAACCCTAAACCCTGAGCCAATTTGGGGTCCATTCTTGAGGCCGATGCCAAGGATAACAGCATGCCAAGCGAAAAACAAAACGTGTCGCAAGATCTGGACCTTACACCCCCCCCCCCCAACTTTCATCAAGTCCGGTTTAGGGTATGGGGTTCGGGGCTTCGGGCTTTGGGCCTAGGATTCCCGAAACCCTGAAACCCGAAACCCTAAACCCTAAACCGCCCTAAACCCTAAGCCCTAAACCCTAAGCCCTAAACCCTAAACCCTAAACCCTACACCTCAGCCCTCAAAGCCCTCAACCCCCCCTGGGCCTGGTTGCCACTGCGGAGGAGGCGCTCGGCGAGGGCCCGCTGGCCACCGCGGTGACCCTGGAGGGCCTCGATGCTTCGGGTTAGGAAGGTTTGGGTTTAGGGTTTAGGGTTTAAGGTTAGGGTTTGGAGTTTGGGGTTTGGGGTTTAAAGTTTCGGGTTTAGGGTTTAGGGTTTAAGGTTAGGGTTTGGAGTTTGGGGTTTGGGGTTTAAGGTTTCGGATTTAGGGTTTAGAGTTTAGGGTCTAGGGTTTAGGGGGTCCTTGAGCTACTGCACAATTGACATGATACGAGGGGTTTTCCAAAAACTGTGAAGAATAGAAGCTGTGCGAAATACAGAAATACCCATGCCGACGGCGACCGAGGCTAGTAGTGGGGCATTACACATGATTTGGTAGTCCAGAAACCATATTACAGAAAGAGTGCCCTTTTTGGGGTTGTTACTTTATCAGGGAACCTAGAACCAACAAAGAGCGAAAGGGTACCAGCGAGCTAGCAAGATGATGAACATCAGATGCAAAGGCGTGGGCGTAGAGAGGCCAGAGGAGTACGCATCATGAGTATTGGCTGGGGAGGTCAAGACAAAACGTGACCCAACGACCCGCCCCTTACACGATGGTGCGGCCACGGTGAGGCTCACACAGACGTGCCGTCCCTTCACTACCCAACGTCTTAGAACACCAAACATCAAAACAAAGTGCATGGCTTTACCCCAGAACCTGACAGCACTCTTTGCTTGACAAGCGTATGGCATCCAGTTGCGGGAACCCTGGAGCCGGCCCTAGCCGGCCCGAGCCTGAACCCCCTCTACAGTTTAGGGTTTTGGGGTTTAGGGTGTTTGGGGATATCCCTACAAGGAGGACCGGACGTTGGACTTGCAGGCTTGACAGTCTTTGGATCTCTGCCCTACACTGGGAAGTCCTACATCCCAAAGAGCAAACTAAACCCGAAGATAAATCATATCATAACAGAATGGTTTACTAACCCTAAGTCCCAGACCCCAACTTGAAGCCCAAGAGTAGAGTGCAACCCTAATATAGTCATTTCATCCTATACTGGTATAATCACCCTAAACCCTAAACCCTAAATCCTAAACCCCAAGAGTAGGAGTGCAACAGCACCCAGCTGGGCCACCAGCCGCGTCGTGGAGCCATCGGGTTGCCTCGTCGCCCTGAAGGCGGAAGCCCAGGCGGGCCTGTCCAAGCTTCGGGTTTGGGGTTTAGGGTTTAGGGTTTAGGGTTTAGGATTTAGGGTTTAGGGTTTAGGGTTTAGGGTTCAGGGCAGTAATCACTTAACCCCCCAAGCGGGCATCTGTTTTTTGCTACCCGTGAGGTCTCTGGTTTTTAAGGGGGAGTTAAATAATAGGTAAGGGCCCTATAGGGGAAGGGAGTAGTGTTGCTTAGGCTGCTCGGACGCCTGATTCCCCGAGTGTTGGGTTAGGGGTTAGGAGCAGGAGGGTTTGCGGACGGTCTCATTCTGTCGTAAAGTGCAGAACCCTCGACCCGGATTCGCAGCAAGCTCTCAACAATGAGAGCCCAAAACCCTTGAAACCATCCCCAAACCCTACTGAAGCCTTCAACCTTCACCCGTACACCCCTAAAACCCTAAACTCAAACACCTGAACCCCGAAACACCTAAACCCCTAAACCCCAAAACCCCTAAAACCCGAAACCCACAAATCCCATAACCCTAAATCCCTAAACCCGACACCCTGAACCCAAGAAAAAACCCTAAACCCCGAAGCCCCAGAAAGAGCCTAAACCCTAAACCCCTCAAAACCCGCCAACAAGAGCCCTTCAACCACAACACCCTAACCCCTAAACCCCCTCAAAACCCCCAACAAGAGCCCTTCAACTACAACACCCTAACCCCTAAGCCCCCTCAAAACTCCCCAACAAGAGCCCTTCAACCACAACACCCTAACCCCGAAACCCCCTAAAACCCCCAACCCAAACCCTTCAACCACAACCCTAAACCCCTAAACCCCTAAACCCCCAAAAAAAACCCCAACCCAAACCCTTCAACCACAACCCTAAACCCCTAAACCCCTAAACCCCCCAAAAAAGAACCAACCCAAACCCTTCAACCACCATACCTGGGCCGGTGACCTGCGCCTCGGGGTGGCCCTTCTCGGCCGCGGCACGGAGCGGGCGAAGGACCTGTCAAGGGCGGGGCTTCAGGGTCTTTTTGGGGGGTTTTGGGGGCTTTTTCGGGTTTTAAGGTGGGTTTTTAGGGTTTTGGGGTTTTGGGGGTTTTGGGGCTTTTTGGGGTTTTAAGGTGTTTAGGGTTTGGGGGTTTGGGGGGTTTTGGGGGTTTTGGGGGTTTTGGGGGTTTTGGGGGTTTTGGGGGTTTTGGGGGTTTTGGGGGTTTTGGTTTTGGGGGCTTTGGTGTTTGGGGGGCTTTGGGGGTTTGGCGTTTGGGGGGTTTTGGGGGTTTTGGGGGTTTTGGGGGTTTTGGGGGTTTTGGGGGCTTTGGTGTTTGGGGGGTGTTGGGGTTTTGGCGTTTGGGGGGTTTTGGGGGTTTGGGGGTTTTGGGGGTTTTGGGGGTTTTGGGGTTTTAGGGCTTTAGGGTTTTGGGATGTCGTGCTCCAGATGCAGGATGTCCCTCTAGAATCCAGAAGCGATTCTCCCAAGCTGAACAAGTGTCCTCGCTCGGCAAATGTCCGTCCTAAACTTAAAAGCCCTACCCTCTGAACCTACAACCCCAAACCAGCGCCAGATCCCAAGGCCTAAATCCCCAAACCCTAAATCCCAAACCCTGTATGCTTGACAAATGGCCTCCTCATCTGGGGCTTTGCCTGGGGAACTTCTTGGGCTCGAGAAATTGTCGAGTGGTGCTAGGCATATCGACAGTCGACTACTCTGGACGAGTTGCGCACGAGGGGACGGAGGGGAATGAGCTCTGAACCCTAGAGGGCTTTCGAGGGCTTTCGAGGGCTGTCGAGGTGTAGGGATCACGGTGCGACATTACAAATACGAATTTCTGGTCTGCTCTTCGAGGTTCCTATTACCAAATCCCTAAACCCTAGACCCCGATGAACCCTGAGACTTATTGAGAGACCTCAGACAAATCACCCCTA